CACACACACACACACACACACACACACACAATCTCCCATCTCCCTCTAGATCTATGTATAACAATCTATCCCCACCTGTCCACAGACTAGCATGACTGTGACCGAGCTCCACCTCCAAGGCAACAGCCTGGGCCCAGAGGGCATGAAGCACGTCTCCGACATGGTCCAGTCCAACGGCGTTCTCAGAGTGCTGGTTGGTCACTTATTTGTTTCTTCTTCAGACTTCTAACTGGGTGCTCTCGTGGTCCAGAGGTTACGGTGTTCACCTCTTATTCATTAGGTCCTGGGTGCGAAACACGACAGCGACGGAAAATTGTATTCTCTAGAATCTCCACTTTCTGCACCCCCATTTGCCCCCTCCTATGATCTCCTAACTCTTTCTGCAGCCTCTCTACTGGCAGGCCTACTCCTTGGCTGGTTCATACTGCTGTCATTCAGCCACAGCCCTGATCCAAGGGTAGATAGGATCCAACACATAGCCTTCTCGGATACGGGCGAAAAATCACGAAGGTCCCGTGTGCAAGATCCCTTGGTGGTCCCGGGAAAAATTCAAAATTAATTCCTATCAAACTGAAAATGTTAAATGTGTCCCTCGGGCTCATAAATCATATTGTGACCTTCTGCAGTTGCGACCGCCGTAAAAAAACAAAAAACAATCTCATTTGTTTTTCTTTTATGCTTGCATCTCTATTAGTACAGTCTCATTCGACTCCGCCGGCGTCTGTGATAATATGCTGGTTTGGTAGAAGACGGGAATTAGATTTAGTAATTGGGCAGTTTTGTTGTTTGTTTTTCCCCCTTTCTTTAAATCAAGTAACTTCGTCTTTTCGCTTGGATATTAATCTCATTCATCTCGGGTCGGCACTGAAATTCAAGGTCAAAGTTATCCTCCTCACTGAAGATCTAAATTGTGCTGACTGGGGTGTAAACAAATGTTTGAAAAGGGAGGGGGGAGGGGGGAATCATTCGACGTTCTCTGACCTGTTCAGAGTGTGCGTGGCAGTGAGGGCATTCTGTCCCTTTGAAGTCCCTCAGTTGACGTCATTTTGACATTATGCCATCTCCCTGAGATCAGACATGTTTGTTGGAGGTCGCAAAAGAATCATATATAATCTGCGGACATAATTTCTCTTTAGATGCTAAACTATAAGAATAAATAAATCAAGAAAAATTGCATAAAGAGTAGGCTTCAAAAGCCGTCTTCTCAACCGTGACAGTGAACAAACGGTAAAGATGGCGGAGGAGCAATCACATTCAACCCATTTAGCCTCCTATCGTGTAGTCCCGTGGACCTCATCTCAGCTAGTCATTTTGGCTTTTCGTTAAACAAATCAAATTTTAATCTTGAGCGTTTCTTCGTTTCAATTCCTCGCATCAACATACCACCCACCCCCATCCCCCACCCTTAAAAAAAAATCATATATCGAGAGAAAACCCAGTTATTGAGAGTATCAGAGGTCAAGAGTTCTTGCCGTCAGCGAGAGTAACTATAATTCAACCCTCATAAATTCAGACCAAAAATTCAATGAGCTTATTTTATAGCAAGCCTGAAAATGGAGCTTTGGTTTAATCACAAAGAAATTATGCACAGCACAAAAACGAACCATTAATTATTGATCGATACGCGATTGATTTCCCAGTTATAGGACCCTCATAAAGATGTTGATTGGAGTTGGACGGGAGGGGTGGAAGAGTGACAGGTAGAGAGATAAATAGGTAGAGATGGAGAATAGCGAAGGGGAAAAAGAGAGTGGATGAGAAAAATATGACAACGTGCGCGTGTGTGTGCGCATGTGTATGTGTGTGTGTGTGTGTATGTGTGTGTGTGTGTGTGTGTGTGTGTGTGAGAGAGAGTGAGTGAGTGAGTGAGTGAGTGAGAGAGAGAGAGAGAGAGAGA